TCTACTAAAAATATGAAAATTAGCTGGGCATGGTGGCACACGCCTGTAGTTCCAGCTACTCTGGAGGCTCTCACTTAAACCCAGGAGGCAGAGGTTGCAGTGAGCCAAGATCGCACCAGTGTACTCCAGCCTGGGTGACAGAGCAAGACTCTGTCTCAAAAAAAAAAAAAAAAAAAAAAGGAAAGAAAGTGAAAAAAGCATCCTGCAGAATGGGAGGAAATCTGCAAATCATATTTTTGATAAGGGTGTAGTATGTAGAATATATAAAGAAGTTTTACAAATCAACAACAAAACACAACCCAATTTAAAAACGGCCTGGGAATGGTGGCGCTCACCTGTAATCCCAGCACTTCAGGAGGCCGAGTCGGGTGGATCACTTGAGGTCAGGAGTTCAAGGCCATCCTGACCAACATGGTGAAACACTGTCTCTACTAAAAATACAGAACTTAGCCGGGAGTGGTGGCATGCACACGTAATCCCAGCTATTCGGGAGGCGGAGGTTGCAGTGAGCCGAGATCATGCCACTGCACTCCAGCCTGGGTGACAGAGCAAGACTCCATCTCATAAATAAATAAATAAAAGGCAAAGAACTTGAATAGACATTTCTCCAAAGAACTATGTGAATGGCTAATAAGCAAAAGAAAAGGTGCTTAATATCGTTAGTCATTAGATAAATGCAGATCAAAACCATAATGAGATTACTATTTTACATTCACTAGGATGTGTGTAATTAAAAAACTAAAAGATAAAGGATATTCAACAGAATGTGGAGAAATTGGTATTCTCATACATTGCTGGCCGAAATGTAAAATGGCATAACTACTCTGAAAAATAATTTGGTGGTTCCTCAAAAGTTTGAACATGGTACTACTACTAGATACATACTGAAAATAATTGAAGACATGTACTCAAACAAGTATATGTATATTATGTTCACTGCAGTAGTATTCATGATAGCCGAAAGGTAGAAACAGCCCAAATGTCTGTCAGTGGATGAATGATTAATTGTGGTGTCTACATGCAAATGAGTATAATTTAGCCACAAAAAGAAAGTACTGTACATGCTACACGCAGATGAACCTCTAAAATGTGCGAAGTGAAAGAAGCCAGACGCAAAAGGTCACATACTATGTAATTCCATTTGTATGAAATATTCAGAATAGGTAAATTCGTAGAGACAATACAGATTGGTGGTTGCCAGGGGCTGGAGGGAGAGGAATATGGGGATAAACTGCTTAATGGGTAACAGGTTTTACTTTGGAGTGATGGGAATGTTTTGAAAATAGAGGTAGTGGTTGCATAACATTGTAGGTGTACTAGATGCCACTGAATTGTTCGTTTTAGAATGATTTTATGCTACGTTAATTTCACCTCAGTAAATTTTTAAATCAAATGAAAACAACTTGCTGTAGGAGGTGAAGAAGTAAGGAGCCCCCCATCTGTGTGTGAGGTGCCTCTGGGGATTGTTCAACATACAGCCCAGCCGAGGCACTGAGGGAGGATGTGGTGCAGCCACTGGCGCATCACAGCCACACACGGCGCCCACGCAGGCGTGGTTTATCACAGCCACGCACGGCGCCCACGCAGGCGTGGCTTGTCACAGCCACGCACGGCGCCCACGCAGGCGTGGATTGTCACAGCCACGCACGGCGCCCACGCAGGCGTGGATTGTCACAGCCACGCACGGCGCCCACGCAGGCGTGGATTGTCACAGCCACCCACGGCGCCCACGCAGGTGTGGTTTGTCTCAGCCACGCACGGCGCCCACGCAGGCGTGGTTTATCCCAGCCATGCACAGCAGCCACACACAGCACCCACACAGGCGTGGTTTATCACAGCCACCCACGGCGCCCACACAGGCATGGTTCATCACAGCCACACATGGCACCCACACAGACGTGGTTTATCACAGCCACGCACGGCGCCCACACAGACGTGGTTTACGACTCGAGTAATTATCCCACTCATCGTAAAAGCCTTTAATCATAAAGATGTTTTCTCTTCACAAAAGGTGTGTTTTGTTCTGGAAGGGCTCAGAGCTCTTGTCCTTTTCTCCAGTTGGGTGTCAAGAGTACAGTGCAAGCAACTGTATTTGCTTTCAAATCTTTTTCTTCACCTTTAAGCCCAAAGTTTACTGACTTTTTAAAAAGATTTTCTTTGGCCAGGCACGATAGCTCACGCCTGTAATCCCAGCACTTTGGGACGCTGAGGCAGGCAGATCACCTGAGGTCGGGAGTTCAAGACCAGCCTGACCAACATGCGGAAACCCCATGTGTGCTAAAAATACAAACAAATTTAGCCAGGCGTGGTGGTGTATCCCTGTAATTCCAGCTACGTGGGAGGCTGAGGCAGGAGAATCACTTGAACCCAGGAGGCGGAGGTTGCAATGAGCTGAGATGGTGCCATTGCACTTCTGCCTGGGCTATAAGAGCCAAACTCTGTCTCACCAAAAAAAAAAAAAACTAAAAGGAAAATGAAATTTTTTTATTTTATATTTCTTTTCTGTAGAGGAACTCATTTTCCCCACAGTTTCTATATTACAGAGAAGAATTATATTGAATTTAGTCCAAAAAGTGATCTCTCACCATTCTCACCTACAGAATTCACCTTTAGTTCCTGTCTCAATAAAAGACTTTGATCTATGTAAACAGTGGCTCAGGCTAGACAACCTGTTCCTCATAGTCACCATCTCCTGTTCCACACCAGTGACATCTCATCTCAGCCAGTGGTCACCAAATCCAGCTAGTGGGCTGGTTTTTATGTCCTGCAAGTTAAAAATGGTTTTGAGGTGTTTTTTAACCTCAGGAACAAGAAAGACCATATGACAGAGATCACAGAGCCGTTAACACCTGACACAGCTCCTCTCCGACCCTTCACAGAAATACCTTCCTGACTCCTGTCTGTGTTGTTGCCACAGCCTTCTTCGTCCTTCCTTGGGTCACTTCTCCACACAGCCAGAAGAGGGCAAGGGTCTCCCAAGTCAGGGTCTTGGCAGGGGCGGAGGATAGCTGGACAGCGAGTCCCAGGACATCCCTGTCAGGGCTGAAGAGTTCTGTCCAGACCTCACCTGTCCCAGCAGCCCCCATTCCTCATTGTTCCTGGGAGCCCAGCAGCATGTAGATGCCACGTTTCCCAGACACCCCCTGGAGCCACGGCTGGGGCTTCTGACAGGGAGAACTGAAGCTCGTGGGGGATATGGGGGAGCCCCTGCAGCCCATGTGGAGTGTATAACAGCAGGCCTGCCAAGGGACAGCAGGGTGGTAAAGGCACCCACATCTGTGTGCTGGCACGTAGGGCAGCTCTGTAGGAGAGGAGAGGCCTGATCCCAGTCTCCAGGAAGCAGGGAGCTGCAAGCGCGTGTTCTGGCTGAAAGTGGCACAGCATGATGTGTCTGCACCTCAGGTGTCAGGTGACCCAACATGAAGTGTCACCAGGAGACATGTGGGTGCAGTGGGCAGAGGGGCAAGTCCCAGGAGGGTCATGGTGAGGGCTGGGCCAGATTGGGTCTGCATTGACACCACAGCTCCTTGGGAACAGACAATTCCAGACTGGAGGCTGTTATGGCAAATTCTGAAAGTCCCAGACAGGGAGGGGCATCCTTCACACCCATTCAGCACTATGGACTACAGCTAGACCAGAGGTCCTCCACTTTGGGGGATGCAGTCCTGTATCAGGGAGTGATCCAGGCTGTGGGTGACAGCCAGGGTGGGGGCGAGGAAAGTAGGTGGGGTGGTGGCATTTATGATCAGGGAAGGGCTCTCTAGCGAGGCCTGTGCAAGGGAAGCGGGTAGCACGAGGGCCATGTGGAGAGTGCTCTGGGCAGAGCAGACCCAAAGGTGGACACATCTGCCCTGCTAAGAGAATAGCAGGAGCAGAGGTAGAGGTGGGGTCTAGGAGGGCCTGGGCCACACAGGCCCAGGAGGCACTGAGAGGAGGTTTGAGTGCATGATGGTGCTAGGTCTGATGCCACCAGGCTGTGGGCAGGAAGGGAGGTTGGGGGCCGGGGAAGCCACTCAGCATCCAGGTGGCAGTGTGTCCTGGGATGTCAGTTTGAATGAGAGACTCTCGACGTCTTCATTTGAGTAAGGGACACAGGGACATGAAGGTTTCTTTGTTCTGCAGGTATGAAGAGGGGAGAGGGAGATGCTGAAGCCTTTTCTGGCAGACACAGAGCTGTGTGTGCATTTCTGTCTGCAGAACGATGATGCACATTGTTACTGGGCCAGAAGTCATCCAGCAAACACCAGTCAGAATTGCAGGTTTTCAGATGTGCAGGTGGCTTTGACAGGACACAGCAGTCTCTAAAGGGTCCTCTGTTGAACAGGATGGAATCTGACGTTCCACACAGGTCCCTGCCACACCGGAGTGGTTGAATGATGCCTCCATGCGACTCGACTTGCCAGGCTCTGAGAGCCAGCTGGGTTTCTTCTCTGTGTGCAACGGGGTCTCTCTCTACTCTAGTGTCTCCTAAGACCAAGCTCAGTGCCATTAGTGTGCACTGAGAGAACTAGAGATAGGCTGGTAAGGCTCACACCTGGCAGTGTGGAGAGAAAAAAGGGTAAAATATGTAACAGTGTGAGGAGTGGTGTGAGGTGTTTTTCTGGTACAGGTGGGAGAGGTGAGAAGCACCTGGATTTGGGCTGCATTCCAAGGTAGAGCCGACGGGACTTGCCAGTGGTTTGGTGTGGGTGTCGAAGAAGAGGGGAGTCAAGGGGCACCCAGGATTTTGGCCTGAGCCAGAAGGCAGACTGCAGTAACGTTTGCTGAGATGTGGAGTCGCGGGGAGGGCAGGTCAGTGGTACTCATCTGCAGCCCCATGCAGCCTTGTCATCCAGCACTCCTCCCACTCCTCCCTGATGCCCTCTGATCTGGACTGCCACCCTGGAGGGTCCCCTGCTCCCCTTGCCTCCTCCACAGTTAGTGGGTGCAACTCTGGCTGTCTGCGTTCCTGCTTCTGTTGCAGCACTGCCTTCCAAGTGATATTCTATTTATTGTTTCAGATTGCAACACCAGGACTGAAGACAAGGAGTTTCTTCACAAGGAAGACGTTCATGAAGATATGGAATCACAGACAGAAATATCAGAACACTGTGCTGGTGATGTTTCCCAGGTGCCCGAGCTTGGAGATCTGTGTGATGATGCATCAGAAAGAGACTGGGGAGTCTCTGAAGGCAGGAGGCTGCCACAGTCCCTCTCCCAGGAGGGGGACTTCACACCAGCGGCCCTGGGGCTCCTTAGGGGCGCCTTAGAGGAGAAAGATCTGGCCTGTAATGGTTTTGACAGTTGCTTCAGTCTGAGCCCAAACCTGATGTCATGTCAGGAAATCCCTACAGAAGAGAGGCCACATCCGTATGACATGGATGGCCAAAGTTTCCAGCACTGCGTGGACCTAACTGGTCACGAGGGGGTTCCCACAGCTGAAAGTCCACTCATATGTAATGAATGTGGGAAAACCTTCCAAGGAAATCCTGACCTTATTCAGCATCAAATATTCCACATTGGAGAGGCTTCCTTTATGTGCAATGGTTGTGGGAAAACCTTCAGCCAGAACTCAGTTCTTAAAAGCTGTCATCGATCTCATATGAGTGAGAAAGCCTGCCAGTGCAGCGAATGTGGGAAAGCCCTCCGAGGGTGCTCAGACTTTTCTAGGCATCAGAGTCACCACAGCAGTGAGAGGCCGTATATGTGTAACGAATGTGGAAAAGCCTTCAGCCAGAACTCAAGCCTTAAAAAGCACCAAAAGTCTCACATGAGTGAGAAGCCCTATGAATGCAATGAATGTGGGAAGGCTTTCAGGCGGAGCTCAAACCTCATCCAACATCAAAGAATCCATTCTGGGGAGAAGCCATACGTGTGCAGTGAGTGTGGGAAGGCCTTCAGGCGAAGTTCAAACCTCATCAAACACCACAGAACTCACACAGGAGAGAAGCCTTTTGAGTGTGGCGAGTGCGGGAAAGCCTTCAGCCAGAGCGCACACCTGAGGAAGCACCAGAGGGTCCACACTGGAGAGAAGCCTTACGAGTGTAATGATTGTGGCAAGCCCTTCAGTCGGGTCTCCAACCTCATTAAACACCACAGGGTTCACACTGGAGAGAAACCCTATAAGTGCAGCGACTGCGGGAAAGCATTTAGTCAGAGCTCCAGCCTTATTCAACACCGGAGAATTCACACTGGAGAAAAGCCTCACGTGTGTACTGTGTGCGGAAAAGCCTTTAGTTACAGCTCAGTGCTCCGGAAGCACCAGATAATCCACACAGGAGAGAAGCCGTACAGATGCAGTGTCTGTGGGAAGGCCTTCAGCCACAGCTCAGCCCTCATTCAACACCAGGGCGTGCACACAGGTGACAAGCCCTATGAGTGCCACGAGTGTGGGAAGACCTTTGGTCGCAGCTCCAACCTCATCCTTCACCAGCGAGTCCACACTGGAGAGAAGCCCTATGAATGTACTGAATGTGGAAAAACCTTCAGCCAGAGCTCAACCCTCATTCAGCATCAGAGGATTCATAATGGGCTGAAGCCCCATGAGTGTAGCCAGTGTGGCAAAGCCTTCAACCGAAGCTCCAATCTCATTCACCACCAGAAAGTTCATACTGGGGAAAAACCCTACACCTGCGTTGAATGCGGTAAGGGCTTCAGCCAGAGCTCACACCTCATTCAGCATCAGATAATCCACACTGGCGAGCGCCCCTACAAATGCAGTGAGTGTGGGAAAGCCTTCAGCCAGCGTTCCGTCCTCATCCAGCACCAGAGGATCCACACTGGGGTGAAGCCTTACGACTGCGCTGCTTGTGGGAAAGCCTTCAGCCAGCGATCAAAGTTGATCAAACACCAGTTGATTCACACCAGGGAGTAGCCTGTTGGGCTGGCAGGAGTGAAATTGAGCATAGTCTCCTCTCCAGCTCCACTTTGGCCATTGTCTCAGCCTCTGCCACTTCCCAGACCGAAAGCCTGCACTCAGCTCACTGCCCCACATCCAGTGGCCACATGGCCTGGGACCCTCCTTTGAAACATCCTTTACGGGCTCCCTTCTCACTGCCACTGCTCTTGCCTCTTGTGATGTCTTGAGTTTGGGTTTGTTTTTACAGCTTGTGAACAGACTGCACGTTTGTTACAAGGGAGAAGATTATGGAGGCTACATATTCATGAATAGAGTTTATTATTGTAATCAAAAGTTACCAAAAAAGTAAAGTGACATTTGGTTTGAGATAACCATAGTAGTTTTTTTGATTGGTAATTCATTGTGTGGGGTGAATTCTTTGTCACTGGCTGTAATTGATATTTTGAGTAAGTCAAGTTTTTCAGGTCTGATTGCTCTGTCATCTTCCCCAGAAGTGGTACCTACTCATCACCAATTCCCTGCCCTTCTTTGTCCCTCCGTTCCAAAACTTGAACCCAAGGCTCCCCCGCCACCCCACTTTTCTTTATACAGATCTGCAATCTGAGGTCATCTTTCTCCTCTCACTGGTCTGCTGTGACTCAGGCCCCCATGTCCTGTTCTGGGCTGCTGCACAGTTCCATGAGGCTGTTCCAGCTTCTGACTTCTGGGCCACAGAGGAAGCTCTCTCCATGCACCTCATTTTCATGCCCAAGAGCTTGCAAGCTGTTTTTTCCACCTAGTAAGTGCCCTGCCTTGAGGACCCAGCTCACTCACCCCCATCCTTAGTTCTCAGAGCTGTGCTCCTGTTCCCTGAACAAGGAGAAAGCCCAGATGCTGAGCGGCCCCTCCCTGCTAGCCAGTGGGTCTGGGGGTGTCAGGACACAGTTTCATGAAAAACCTAGCCCTGATCTGTTTTAGTAGATAAAAGTTTTGTTGGAACACAGCTGTGCCCATTTGTTTACAGAGAGCTGTGGCAGCTTCTGCACCACAGAATCGAGCACTTGTGGTAGATTCCATATAGTGCACAAAGCCAAAGTATTTCTTTCTGGTCCTTGATAGGAAAGTTTGCACATCCTGCCTTAGGATGCTCCCTGTGACCTCAGTTGACTCTCAGGACTCAAGAGTTCTTGCAGGAGTTGAAATGTGTTTTGTGACCAAGGGACTAGTCTGTACTGTGGAGTGGCTGACTGTGTGCAGATGGGTGATTCCTGCACAGTTCCCACAGCCCCAGAACCTTCATTCTCCTTACCACTCCCCAACACACTGTACGCCCTCTGGAGAGATGCAAGACCTAAGTGTTGACCTGAGTTCTTACTGCAGTTAAGAGTTTTATGAAGATTGAAATGGTATGTGTAAAGTATTTTATTATTTTTATTTTATTTTTTGAGATGGAGTTTTGCTATGTCACCCAGGCTGGAGTGCAATGGCGCGATCTCAGCTCACTGCAACCTCCACCTCCCGGGTTCAAGCGATTCTCCTGCCTCAGCCTCCCAAGTAGCTGGGACTACAGGCATCCGCCACCACGCCCAGCTAATTTTTGTATTTTTAGTAGAGACAGGATTTTACCATGTTGGCCAGGCTGGTCTCGATCTCTTGACCTCATGATCCACCTGCCTCGGCCTCCCAAAGTGCTGGGATTACAGGTGTGAGCCACCACGCCTGGCCATGTAAAGTATTTTAAACCTGTACCTAGTCCTTGGCAATCTCTGCTAGGCATTACTAACATTAACTGAAAATTAGTATCTCACAGAAGCACTAAGAGAGCTGAAGAAATAGACTGGAGTCCAAGCTTCCGGGAAATAATCCAGAACCATCCCATGGAACTCCCCTGCCAAGGGAACTGCTGACTACTTAGGAACCCCACAGCTCTGCTGTGACGTAGGTGAGCATGCGGAAGTCTAGTTTTCCTATTTAACTCTGCTTTAAGAGTCTTGTGCGGACAGACCTGACCACCCAAACCAATTCTTGTTCTCCACTAGCAGCAAGGGAGGCCAGGAAGTGTAGATGGTGGCTTCTGTGTTGGAAAGGCTGCAGAGAGCTTCTAAAACATGAGGTTTTAGGAGATTTTGAATAGTCATAAATGCCCTTATATGTCCACTAGAAGCTACATTTTTGTAGTTTTTAAATTGTGAAATAATTTCTTTTTTTTTTTTTTTTTTTTTTTTTTTTTTGAGACGGAGTCTCGCTCTGTCGCCCAGGCTGGAGGCGCAATCTCGGCTCACTGCAAGCTCCGCCTCCCGGGTTCACGCCATTCTCCTGCCTCAGCCTCCCGAGTAGCTGGGACTACAGGCGCCCACAACCGCGCCCGGCTAATTTTTTTGTATTTTTAGTAGAGACGGGGTTTCACCGTGGTCTCGATCTCCTGACCTTGTGATCCGCCCGCCTCGGCCTCCCAAAGTGCTGGGATTACAGGCGTGAGCCACCGCGCCCGGCCAAATTGTGAAATAATTTCACACACAAAAGTATTACGAGTACCACAAAGAACACCCAAATATCTTCACTCAAATTCCCCAGTTAGCATTTTGCCACATTTGCTGTGTCATCATCATCTTCTCCCTCACTGTAGATACACGTTTGTCCTGAGACTAAGTTGCAGATGTGATGCACCTTACCCCTAAATACATCAGCATGTGCTTCCTAAGAACAAGGATGTTCTTTTTCACGACCATAATATTTGTTGGAAAATGAATTGGGTTTTTTTGAGGCCGGGTCTTGCTCACCCAGGTTGGAGTGCAGTGGTGTAATCACAGCACACTGTACCTCAACCTCCTGGGTTCAAGCAGTCCTGTCACCTCGGCCTCCCAAATAGCTGGGACCACAGGTGTGTGCCATCACCCCCGGCAGGTTACTTTTGTTTTTGTAAAGATGGGGTCTTCCTATGTTGCCCAGGCTCGTCTTGAACTCTTGGCCTCAAGTGATCCAGCCAAAGTGCTAGGATTATAGACGTGAGCCATTGTGCCTGGCCAGAAAGTGAGTGTTGGTGACATGCTCTAATCTATAAACCTTGTTAATGTTTTGCCAGTTGTCCTGGTAATGCCCTTTGTAGAATTTATTTATTTATTTATTTATTTTTGAGACAGAGTTTTCCTCTGGTTGCCCAGGCTGGAGTGCAATGGTGCAATCTTGGCTCACTACAACCTTCACCTCCTGAGTTCAAGTGATTCTCCTGTCTCAGCCTCCCAAGTGGCTGGGATTACAGGCATGCACCACCTCGTCCAGCTAATTTGTATTTTTATTAGTAGAGACAGAGTTTCTCCATGTTGGTCAGGCTGGTCTCAAACTCCCGACCTCAGGTGATCCACCCGCCTTGGTCTCCCAAAATGCTGGGATTATAGGCGTGAGCCACCGCACCTAGCCTATAGAAATTTAAAAAAAAAAAAAAAAAAAATTCCTGGCTGAGGACCCAGTCTGAGATCACCCATACGTAGTTGTCATGTCCTTCCATCTGGAGTACTTCTTTAGTCTCTTTTTTCTTTTTTTCAAACAGAGTCTTGCTCTGTTGCCCAGGCGGGAGTGCAGTGGCATGATCTCGGCTCACTGCAACCTCCACCTCTCGGGTTCAAGCAATTCTCATGCCTCAGCCTCCCAAGTAGCTGGGACTACAGGCACCCGCTAATATTTTTTTTGTGTGTGTGATTTTCAGTAGAGACGAGGTTTTACCAAGTTGTCCAGGCTGGTCTCAAACTCTTGACCTTAAGTGATCCTCCTGCCTCAGCCTCCCAAATTGCTGGGACTACAGGCATGAGCTACCGCACCCAGCCAGTCTCTTGTCTTTCAAAGATAAATGTTGCCATCTTTGAAGAGCATGAGGCAGTTACTCTGTAGACTGTTCTTTACCTTGGGTTTGTCCAGTGTTTCCTGATGATTTTGCCAGGAACCACAGAAGAGATGTGTCCTTGGTGTGTCATATCAGGAGGTCCATGATCGGTTTTGTGGTCCCTTTCACGTGATGTGATCTTTATCACTTGGTTAAGACTGTGACTGCCAGGCTTCCCCACGGTAAAGGACCAGCTGTGGAATAAGTTCTTTTCCCAGGAGCCTGGTACCTTTCTGTGGAGAATAGTTTTTAGAAAACAAGATCTGGGTGTTAGGTGTGCTCACTGTCATGAGGGTGTCACTGCTTCTGGGGCTTCTCAGCAGAGAGCTAGGAAATAAATGTATGTGTTTCTATGTAAACACACCATCTTGTATCAATTTAAATAGCCATCAATGTATTTAAAACCATGAATTTATTCCAGTGCCATGAATTCCAGTCCAGTACCACAGGGTTCAGTCTAGCCTTCCTTCTCTCCATACTTTTTTTAAAACAAAAATTTTTAAAACAAAAATATGATCCCTATTATCCTCAGTATTTTTACACAATAGATTTTCTCAATCTTGGAATATACTAAAAGTAATTTTTGAATTGTTAATCCATAACCACTGTGTAACAACAACCTGTTGATGGTCCAATATCTGTCTACTGGCTTTTGCACTTTGATTTGAGGCTCTGTAGTCAAAATACTTCATAAAAAAGATACTTGAGTCTTTGTTTTGTCTTGGTTTTTTTCTCTTTCATGGTGGCTATGTTATTCACATGTAACAATTCATTGTATTTGTTTCTGTTGTGTTCCGTATTAGTGGTTTCCCTCATCCTTGTTGATTTTCTTTTTTTATAGGTAAGTGAGCTCCCTTTTTAAACTATGAAATTCTTCAGAGGGACATTAGGAAAAGAGCGACATGAATAAATACTGAAGTCTATCTTGTTTGTCCATAGACTCAATATCATGAAGATGAAAATTTTCCTAAATCGCTCTGCGAATTCAGTGCATCCCCAGTCAAAATCCAGACAGGAAGCATTTGGGAACTAGTCCACATTATCTCAGTTCACCCAGAAAAAGACACATGTAAGTAGCAGGTGTCTTCATGTTTGTTTGGTAGCAAATAAAGACATCCACTGGACTAGCATAAGTTAGAAGGGCATTTCTTGTCATGGGGAACAGGAGGTGAGTGCCGTCAGGAACAGCTGCAAGCTCTTTGTTCCTCCGCATGCATTTCATTCTTTTTTCTTTAGATGTGGCAAGGAAATGGCTGCTCCACAGTCTGCTCTCCAGTTCACTTGTCCTCACACGTCTGGGGACAGAACCAGTCTGTGAAAGTTGCTGCGTCCTCAGTTCATGGTCTGTAGGAGAAAGTCTGACAGGGCCAGCCTCAGGCGGGTAACCCAGTTCAGTCACCTCTAGGACGGCAGGGTGTGAGTCTCGGCCCGCACGCCAGTGCCAGTGGGTGGAAATCAAGATTTCTCTTTTGGGCATGTTAAGCTTGAGGTGTCTGTGAGATACAAGAGAAGTTG